TATTTGTCATCCAGTCCTAAGAAAGGCCAATTGTCTCTTAGAATGCCTTGATTCTATTAGAAAGCCTTTGATCTATTTTGGGATCCCATCCTATTCAAATATGAGGGTGAGATGATTCAAGACAGGCACTCCCACTCCTAACATTTCCTTTTCCAGAACTGTCCTCAAAGGCTTAAACAGATGCTGCAGGGAGCACAGAGCAGCAGTTTTCTAAGCATTAAATCCTTGGGTGTGTTCTCTATTCCTCTCTCTCTAGGAACAACTGCCTCAGAGGTACTGGAATTGTTGGCTAGAGGGTATTGAACAGTCTTCACACATCCAAATTCCTCTACAGAAGATTCCAAACACAAAGAGCCACTGAGCCAGGGGTGACCAGGAGCAGTTCCCTGTTATGTGATTGGTTGACCTATAATGACTGGAATGGGGAAATAACCATTCCCTTGGCCAATGAATATAGTCAGTATTAAGGTCATGGAACTGCTGGTGTTCAGAACTGGGTCCTGTCCAGAAAGCAAACAGAAAATAAACTGTTAGAAGTGTGTTTTCGCAATACTTGACATCCCTACACTCTCATTCAGGAAACTCCTGTTCTTAAGAAGCAGAAGCCCAAAAAGGGGAGGCAGGCAACGTGTTGAAGATCCAGCATGGAGGGCTGAAAAGCAGAATGATTCCTCGAGGTCAGGGCTAGAGAACTTGACATGCTTCTCAGCCTTCTTCAGTCCGGGAAGCTCTCTCCATTCACACCACTCACCTGTGATTTGCTCAGCGGCCAGTACTTCCCTATGGTCAAGTACCAGGCTTCCTCCCGATCCACAATCAGATATGCACTTTGGAAGCTGTGCAGGAGTTTGCGTCTTCATAGTAATTCCCACCTTTGTCCATGTTCTTCCAACAAGGCGACAATGACATCTAAGGCTCTTAGCTGTCTCTCCCTTCTAAACCAAGCCTGAAGTGGGTAAACCAGACATATGCCTCTGTCACGTCACACCACATGATTACTATATAGTAATCAAAGACTAGGACAAACTGCTGAAGCATGCCAACACAGGCAAATATGCTAAATACAAAGGCCAATATGCAGATTAACAGTACTCTACCTCAAAATACACCTCACATACATTTCATTTAAAACCCTGGGGGTCTTTTCAAAGCTTTTTCAAGAATCAATGGCTTCTCCCTCTTGAAAGAAAGCTCAGCCACCTCTTTCCTTTCCAACTCTGCCTCACGGAACAGGTCCGCTTAGCAATCACCCTCTGCAAGATCCCCTTCCTATGGTTTATCTGAAGCCCGAGCTAAAGAAAATCTCTGCCCAGTCAGCCTGGCCCTATTATTTTCTACCCCAGGTGTTTTGGTTAGTAATGAAACAGCTCCCATGGCCAGTCACTGTCCTCGATACATATAATTTACTCAGAGATCTCATTAGGAATGGGTCGTTGTTAGGACATGATCAAACCTTTTTTTTAACATATTCCTCCTCCTCCTACCTACTAGCTTTTCTCTACTGGTATGGCTTACAGTTTCAGTTATCAAAAAGCATATACTTTTTCTGACATGAAACAGCAAAATCCTCCCTGTCCTTCCAATTAGTAAAGCCATAAGAGGGCACAGATACTGCCGTCTGCATGACTTTGGACAAATACTGAGTATACTTGAACTTCACTTTTATGTCACCTATAAAATAAGTAACTACATTGTCTCATATGAGAAAGGATTTTATGAGATAATGAATATTAAAATGCACGTGCTAGTCCCCAGGACCATGTAAGTGATGGCAGATTCTGAGAGGTGGCAGCTATGAGCAAAAATCCCATGACTCAGAGATAAGAAAACACAGCTTCTAGTTTTGCTTCTGCCTACCCACCAGTGTATGATCATAAGGAAAGTAACTAAGCCAAACCTTGATTTTCTCCTCAGCAAAGTGAAAACAGTACTATTCCCCTTTCAGGCTGGTTTGAAAGAGTACAGCATATAACAGTACTCAGTAAATGCCCATTTATTCATCTGTGTGTGTTCAAATTGTAATCCTCATGGCAGGAACCCAAGTCTTAGGACAGGGTCAGTGGAGTCTACTGAAGTAGTAGCATAGGCTGGTACTTGGCGAATTTTAACTTGAGAAGCAACGTATTAAAATTGCACCCAACGGATTCTTTCTGAAGGGACTTTCACGTGTTGCCAGGAGAAATCAGATAATGCACTACCTGCTATGGACTTTCTTGTAACAGCCATATTTTCATATCAAATAATTATCAGCAAGAGTGCCATTCATGTGCTACAAATTTCCCCCTAACACTGCCTTTTACTCTCATCTAAATGGCTTTTAAATCTTGCATTGCTCAATTTCTGTCATCTCTATAATAAATAATTCTCTTTGAAGCTTTTGAGCTTCTTCGTGCCCACAGATCTGGCACAAAGTAGATTCAGTAAACCCTGTTGCTTTATTTTTTTTTTTTTTTTTAAAGATTTATTTATTTATTATCATCATTCATCATTTAAGCACTGGTACAGTCAGAAGAGCAGAGGGTGAGAATTCACCAGGCCAGGCGGACAGAAATCAGCAGAAGGACCGATACACTGCTGAGTGGAGCAGCGGCGACAGAGAGGTCGCGCCAATGTGGACCCTCCTCTGGTGGCCGGGAGCAGCTGGGGATCGAACCGCGCTGCAGAGCTCGGGCAGCTCGCAACCCAGCGCTCAACCGCTGCGACCGGGGAGGCCCCCCTGTTGCTTTATAGGCTGATACTCTTGAAAAAAACATCAGAGGCTTTGAAGACAGAGGAAAAATTCTCTTCAGTCATTCCATTGAAACAGCTGTTAAATGGTGATCTTTGGCAGCTCTATAAATTCCATGCCACAAATATAATGATAATTCAAAATGCAAGGCTATAAATGAGGCATTAAAGGGGCACATTTTTCATTGTCAATTCTTCATTTTCAGGATGTCTATTAAATATAGAGGTAAAAATATCAGGACAGCTGTCAAAACATAAGCTTGAAATTTGTATATTTCATTCTGATAATCAACAGAATACTGATTATAAATATTAGGTCTTTCCTCTCTTCTCCAGTTCAGGGAATTGTTCCTTCTAAGCTATGAGAATCAGGCAGGTTCTTGGTGGAGGAAGTATGAGAAAGATGAGGAAGGTACAAAGCAACATGCTACCAAAATTCTTCTAGTAGATCAAATCATCAGTTGCAAGATATGGGCTCCATGGGCCTCCAGGGAATGTAAGTAATTTCTCCCTACAAAACCTACAAGATGTTTTAACTTCTATTCTTTTTATAAGATGTCAACTTGGAAGGTTCTTTGGAATGAAGCATCCAATCTAGGTCTCAAACTGAACAAATGAGAACACTAGGGCCCAGAGGGGTGATACACCACATGTGTATCCACAATGAAACAAAAACCCCAACTCCCAGCCCAACCTTCTTTCACCTATGTCATCAGTCTATTATATTTCACTATTTCACAAAAAGAAAAGCTATAGCCGTCCCCCTCTAGTCATTCATTCTGGACTCATTGATCACCTATTATGTGCCAGGCACATTGTTCTTGGTGCCTGTGACACAAGCAAATGAAAAAGCCAAGATCTTGCTCCCATTCACCGTACATACTGCTTCCTTCTGTTGCATCGTGGCAGGAAGAGAAGGAGAAAGAACAAAGTACAACTGAGATATTGAAGGGAAAGAAGGAAGAGACCTCTGTTCTTTTCCTTAATATTTTATATACTTTTTCTTTCATATATTATTAAATATATTTTAACAACCATAAAATTCACCAACTACGTATTTCAGTAGTTTTTGGCACATACACAGTTTGCCCAACTAGTGATTGCACCACAATCTTAAGTTTAGAATGTTTCAACACCCCATAAAGAAATCCTGTATCTATTAGGAATCAGTCCTCATTCCCATCCTTCTACCCCAACCGCCAGGCAACTACTAATCTACTTTCTGCCACTATGAATTTACCTATTCTAGATATTTCCTATAGGTGGAATTCTAACATGTAGGCTTATAATATTCTGTGTGGCTTATAATGTTTTAAGATTCATCATGTTGTAGCAAGTCTCAGTATTTCATTATTGTTTTATTGTTGAATATTCCATTGCAATCTGTTTTTTTCCCCCAGTCACCTCAAGGTTATGTCAAAAGCTACAGATCTTCTTCAGGATGATTTTATTACACAATATGGAGTTTGGGGGAGTAAATCCTGTCCCCACTCCCCTCCTGTTCTAGGCAGTTGTTTCAAGGAGTCCCCTGCAGTACCTGACCAGATCCATCCCCAGTAAGGCTTCTGTCTCAGTGGCTGGTTCTTTGGCATTGATGGCTTCATTGGCTATGCACACTCCATGTTCATTGGCTCCCATTTCTGCCCCCCAAAGCCAGGCAGGTCTGCTTATCACAATGGCATGAGTCCTAGGAACTTGGTCGATGGAAATGTAAGTGCACTAAAAAATGAAAGACAGTAAAGAAAGGGCTGTGAGCTGTCAGGAACCACTTAGTTTTCACTCTGGTAATTAAGTTGAATCATCAGTTCAGTGATAAACAAGGCTAAATTATGAAAGACCTTGGAAATAACCCAGGCATAAAAGACCCTCCTCCCCAAGTCTCATTGCAGCTCAAAGGTCTCATGGTGTGTTTCCGTTTGGTAGAATTCAGTGTTCAGTCTCTTTGGTTCAAGCCAATCTGTCCATAGTGCTTATGGATATGGTGGTCATCTCCTGAACCAGATACTCAATCTCTACCCTGAATGTTCTGTGTCCAGTCATCTTCATAGAACAGTTGGCCACTGGCATTGTAAACATAGCTATTTATTCTTGTTTGCAAAAACCATTCTACATCAGTGGTTGTTAGACTTTTACAACATTATAGAGTCCCATCTATGAAAGAAACTCTAGGAGCCTAACATAAGAAGCAGATAAAAAGGAAGTCACTTTGTTTGAAGAAGGTCCCTAAGCCTCCAGCAATCATCCACAGGGCTCCCTGAACACAGTTTGGCAATCTACCTGATTGTCCTAGTGTTAGAAAAGGGAAAATGATAATAATACTTTATATTTAACTAATATATTCAATGATTTATATACCCTCCTCCACATTGTGTTTTCCTGTCTGTTCCATTTGATTCTCACACTAACCCATCAGGAGGACACCTAAGGAAACAGTCTCAGAAAGGCATGCTTCTTACTGCCTTCAGTACTCAGCACACCCCGCTGTGTGTCTGGCCTTCTCCAGGTGGCGTGAATCCACCTGGAAAATGAGTGAGCTAATCTAGATCAAACTATCTCTTTCAAAATGTTTTTAGCCTCAGAATGTTTCCTTCATAGAAACTCTCACAAAGGGGGCCTCCCTGGTGGTGCAGGGTTAAAGACAGAGCTATCAAGCTATTGCCACCCCTGCAGCATGAGTTCTATACCCAGCTGGCCAGGGAGTAACCCACATGGCGCAGCAGACCTCTCCTGCTTCACCCACTGCTTCCCTCAGCAGCGTATTCAGTAGATCTGCCTGTTCTGCTCCCCACCTTGTCTCTGGTGAATCCTCTCACCCACTGCACTTCTGGCTTACACCCAGTTCTTGTATGTATAAATAAATAAATCTTTTTAAAAAATTCTCACAAAAAAGCATTAAGACAGTAAAACTGGTCAGAGTGTGTTGAGGCAAAAGAAACAATTGGCATGGGACAGGGGTTGGGTAGCTCAGAGCCCTGCCTGCTGGTTATTCCCTGCCCACTTTGGGCCCCTGGGAGGACTCCACAGAGCAGCTCCAAAACAGCTAACCTAGATTCCCCACGCAGGGCCTCCTGCTCTGACATTCTATCAGTCTATGCCATACTCTTTGAGTGGTAGAAGCAATATGGAATTTGGGGCTCTAAATTACAAGGCTCTACAGCTCTCAAGGGAGAATTTTATCAGCTGCAGTAGCCATTTACATTTTAAATTGGGCAGCTGAAAGCTTAGATCAACCACAGCTTCAAATCTTTTTTTGATTGAAGACCCAGTTATATTGACTGAATGCAGCCACAAAGTTATTCTGCATTGATTTTCCATAATCTCTAAACCTCGGGTAAAAGCTAAAATGCACGCATCACGCACACTCATTGATCAGGTTGTTATAGGACAGGGAGAGGGGCAGCCCAAACCCCACAAACCTGCCTATTTTAAATGGGTTTTGCCATCTGCCGCATCAACACAAAACATATGAGACTTTAATGGGAAGGAACTTTAATAAAACTAGGAAACAATACAGGAAAAGCAAATAATCTAGTTTCTAAATGAAACATCCAAAGTTACCCATTCCCTCGTGGGTAAAACTTCATTTAAATGGGATCGGCCCAGAACAAGGCCCCAAAGCCTGCTACAAGTCTAAAGCATCTTCCAGTGGGGACCCACAGAAAAGGGTCACAAACAACCAGACAAGCCCGGAAGGAAAAGAGCAAAATCAACATCAAGATAAAAGCTGCCATGGTCACCTCCCCACGGGTCTCACCCACATCTGTGTCACCCAGTTCACGACCAAAAGACAAGCGTAGTTTCTTCACGTGTCTCTAGGCTCCACGCGCCTCCTCCAGGTCTCCTGGCTCCATCCTGTTTCCTTCCTCAGTCTCTTCTACAACTTTTCTCTTCTCTTTCTACTCAGTTCCACCCTCCCTTGGGTGGGGCAGGGAACCTCCCCTTTCCTGGGGACCACCCTGTTACAAGGTGACAACCATATCTTCAACATCCACATTAGGTATTGCTTTGCATTGGGGAAATGGGATTTCACTTGATAAATATTTGTAAACTGAAAGCTAATTAAATCCAGAGGTTATCAAAAGACCCTTGAGTTTTTCCATGGCAATTTGACAATAAAATACTCTTGAAATGTTTTCTTCTATTCAATTCCCCAAAGATACTTACTTAAAAAATGATTCTTCCAGAGCAACAAGCTGGCCAAAGCTGTAAACAATTATGGTAGGGCCCTCCATGCGCTTGTAAATATAATTGAAATTTATATCTTCAAATTGCAGTCTTTCATGTAAAATGTGGAGCAGGCATTGACCAAGAATTATTTCCTTAAGCAAATAACTGTGTATGGGCTCTGTGCAAGGAGTCAGACCAATTCTCTCTATTACACATGGTTGCTTCTTGACTATATCACCTCTGAGTGCATGTCACTTCCCAAACTTCTGGGCCCACTGAGTTCCAGTGACAAATTCTTTTTTTTTTTTTTTTTTTTAAGATTTATTTATTTATTTATACAAGCACTGGGTACAGTCAGAAGCGTGGGAGGGTGAGAAAATTCACCAGAGCCAGAGCAGGGAACAGAGCAGGCAGACTGACGAAATACACTGCTGCAGGGAGCAGCAGGCGGCAGGAGAGGTCTGCGCTTCATGTGGGACCCTCGCCTGATGGCCAGGGATCAAACTGGTGCTGCAGAGGCTGCGGGCAGCTTCGCAACCCAGCACTCAACCGCTGCACCACCGGGAGGCCCTCCAGCAACAAATTCTATCTCAAATCAGTAATGAGGGAAAGAATCTCAGATTCTGAAGTATAGATTTATTATAAAGCTTTCGCTTTCATTTCACCAAATATCCCTAGAGTACCAACCATACACAAGGAATTTGTGTAAGTGTAGATAAATCATAGAGGATGCCCAGTCCCCGCCCATCCTTTCTGCTGGGAAGTTAGGAGAGGCACACACACACGTTACTGTAACCATGTGGCCAACTTTAGTGTCACTGAGGCTTGTCTACTAAATAGGCCAGATTGCATCTTGCCTGTCCCAACCTTGTACTCTTGATGAATCCAAATAAGCTCTACTTTTTCTCTTTCTCTCCTTTCATTTATTTCCTTCAAAAATACTATATAATTGACCTATTTATCACATCAGATCTTTATATATGCTCTCTTCCCCAGTTAGAATGTAAGCTCCATGAGAGCATGGAAACATCTTTGTTGTTTAGTTCCCTGATAACCCAAATCTGGAACATATTGGGCATCAATAAAGCTTTCTATGAATGAATGAATGATGAATGAATGAATGATGAGTGAATGAATGAGTGAATGAATGAATGACAAAGGTCAAAGGGAGCATAATAGAGGTTCAAAGGAAAGAGGCACACATCCACCAGGCCAAACACTACCAAGTGGGTGATATTTGAGTTGAATATGAAAACTCGGTCAGCCGATTCCAGACAGAGGAAAGAGCCTAAGAAGAGAAAAAGAAGGGTCTACCCAAAGTGTGTTCATGGTCCAGTGAGTTTTTCGCTAAGCTGCTTAGTGGAGCGCTGTGATGGCACTGAGTCACAGAACTGCAAGAGCTCAATAAGTACTTACTGATAAAAACATTGATAATTGAATCAAAAAGACCATATGGTTTTTGTGGGAGTTCAAAATGTATGCAGCCAACTTGAGACTTTTCAGGCCAAACTCAGAATGAAGTGGAAGGAAAGAGATCCCCAAATAGCCAGATGGGCCAGCTCAGTCCCTCCTCAGCATTGGGCTAAAAGCCAGAGAACCAGCTCTCCCTCACAGGCTACAGAACAGGGGGAGGGAGAGAAGGGGTAAATGTGTCAGAGCCTTGAAGAGCCTGTAACTCGGGCCCCTTAGGGCATCGTTGTAGTGGATTGCTGAAGACCTGGCCTAACAAGGGTTCTTCAGGTTGTAACTCATACATGCACCATTGTACCTGATATCTGACTAAGGACACCAGGTCCAGGAGGGAGTAAGGAGGATGTCCACACTTATTTCCTATAGATTGGTTCTTTAAAATCCCAGCTGGGAAGCAAACTTCACAAATAAGGACCATGTACAGATGTCAGCAACCTCTTTTTGTAAAATCAGCTCATCTAGAACATGAACTCCACAGGTGGTCATTGTTTTTTGGGTTGTTTTTTTAATTTTATTTTTATATTCCCCATACAATTGCAACCCCCTTATTTTGAACCCAATCCCTCCTTTCCCCATCCCCCTACCCCCCATAGTGTGTCTCTGGTTCATAGTTGTTTGTTGATTTTGATTTTTACTTTATTATAATTAGCTTTTTTCCTGGTCCCTTATAGGTTTTCTAGATTCCTGCTATCACTGAGACCATCCGGTATTTTTCTTTTTCTTTCTGGCTTATTTCGCATGATCCCTTCTAGCTCCATCCATGTTGGGGCAAATTGCATGTGTTTATCTTTTTTGAATGCTGAGTAATACTCCATGGTGTATATGTACCACATCTTCTTGATCCAGTCATCTATTTTTGGGCATTTGGGTTGTTTCTAAAGCTTAGCTATTGTAAATAGTGCTGCTATAAACATAGGGGTGCAGGTGCTCTTTGGAACTGATGTTTCTGTGTCCTTTGGGTAAATATCTAGGAGTGGAATTGTTACAGGGCAGCCCCTGTAACAATTGTGTAATTGTTACAGGGTTGCCTGGCTGTAGGTCCTCACCCACGCGCTTAAAAGGGACTTATGAATACTCCACTA